AAAGTATACTGTTTCCTGATCACCAGTCTCTTTTTTTAACCTTTTTTTTTTTTTTAGATTTTATTTATTTGACAAACAGAGATCGCAAGTAGGCAGAAAAGCAGGCAGAGAGAGAGGAGGAAGCAGGCTCCCTGCTGAGCAGAGAGCCCGATGAACCCTGGGATCATGACCTAAGCCGAAGGCAGGGGCTCCAACCCACTGAGCCACCCAGGCGCCCCAGATCACCAGTCTCTTAAAATAATACTTCTGTGCTGTAGAGCTCTTGGGGTCCATGCTGTGTGTCACTTACTCCTTTGTGGACTTTTCCTTAAAAAATAACCTATATGGGACACCTGGGTGGCTCAGTTGGTTAAGCAGCTGCCTTCGGCTCAGGTCATGATCCCAGCGTCCTGGGATCGAGTCCCACATCGGGCTCCTTGTTCTGTGGGGAGCCTGCTTCTCCCTCTGCCTCTGCCTGCCACTCTGTCTGCCTGTGCTCTCTCTCTCTCTCTCTCTCTCTCTCTTTAAAAAAAAAAAAAAAAAAAAAAAAAAACCTATATATTACAATAAGCTCCCTGCACAAAAATGAAACCCTAACAATTCACAGAAACAAATTATTAAACTTTTTCTCCCCCAAATTTCTTTGTTAGCTCACACTAGCCCCATTATATCCAGTTATAAAACTGATTGAAAAAAAAAAACTAACCTTTCCACTTAGCGAGAGTCTAAGATTTCAAAATATATTAAGAATTGTGATCTTACTCAATATGCTAGTAATACCCAAGATAACGATATTCGTCATGAAAATGGAGCCTTCCCCTTAAAAGCTGAAGCTAAGTTGCTTTTGATTACTTAAGCCTTTACAATAAATGATCTCCAAAATACAAATTCCATTATTATTTTTTTTAATTTTAATTTTTAAGAGAGAAAGAGTGAGAGAGCGCAAGCAGTGGGAGCAGCACAGGGAGAGGGAAAGGCAGGCTTCCTGTGAGCAAGGAGCCTGACACAGAGCTCGCTCCCAGGACCCTGAGAGCATGTTCTGAGCCGAAGGCAAATGCTTAACCCACTGAGTCATCCAAGTGACCCTACTTTTTTCTTTTACTGATAGTGATAAATTTCACTGTTAACCTATTAGCTATAGGTTGTATCTTTATAAATATAAATGGTAAACACATGATTTTGGATCATTTATGTACTGCAAACATTAACTAAATTTTTTCCAGGTTGGCAATTACCATAGTAACTCCCTCCTTCTTAAAAAGTTTTATTGGTAAGAGCCAGTGAACAATCCTGTTCAAGATTTTATCAAGCCTTCTATTGCTAAGGCTATTGGCTCAAACATAATTCAGTGTACTGCTTAGCATACTGTTAGGTCAGACAAAGAAATACCAAAGCTGGCTAGTTGGAAGAATCTAGTCTAAAGCTTTTGCAAAGCTGCCTCACTTTCTTACCTTTACATAAAAGATTATTTAATTGTTCAAGAACTGGAAAGTATTTGGGGTTATAGAATTAATGTGATTAAAGAAAAATGAAGGATTTGAAAACATGAGGAAAGAAGAAATTAACAAAAATATCAGGCAAACTTGAAAAAGAGGCAAAACGAACTTACAGGCATAGAAATATAATCTTTGAAGTTAAAAAAACCAAATGGACAAATTAAACACAGATGAAGACAGAATTATTGAACTGGAATACTGATCTAAAAAGTTACACAAAAGGCAGCACAAAAGATATGGATGTATACACGAGAGGTTAAGAGAGATGAAGAACAGATGGAGGCCTAACATATATCTCATAGGAGTTCCAAAAGAGAACAGAGGAAACAGAAAAGCAGCAATGTTCAAAGAAATAATGACTAGAAAATTTCCAGTAATCATGGCAAACATGGATTTTCATACCAAGTAGCATAAATAAGAATAAATCCACATTTAGATACATAATACTGGAACAAGAACACCAAAGACAAAAAGATAATTCTAAAGAGAATCCAAGTAGAATATATTGCCTATAACCCAAAACAATTTTATTGAGAGTAGACTTTTTTTTTTAAGATTTTATTTGACAGAGAGAGAGAGAGAGAGAGCAGAGGGAGAAGCAGAATCCCTGACTGATGTGGGGCTCAATCCCAGGACTCCTGAGATCATGACCGAGCTGAAGGCAGAGGCTTAACTGACTGAGCCACCCAGGTGCCCCTGAGAGTAGACTTCTTAACAGCAACAATTAAAAATAATATTCCATTGTCTTCTAACTTTTAAGTGCTGAGAATAAAATATCACTCTGGATTTATAAACTTAATACACTAAGGTATTTTTAGGGAAAAAAAAAAAATCAAGTTGACCAGGAGCTGAAAGAACTACTAAAGGATGTTTTTAGTGAGAAGATTGGATAGAAAGGACCAGGGTGAGAAAGTGGGGGGAGGGGAAATGGGCAAACACATGGGTAAATCTAGAGAAATAATAATCGAAAATAATGATGATGATTAATTTGGGGATTATAAAAACAAGATGGAACCAAAATGCTGGACAATGAAATCTTGTCAGTTGGGAGGAAGGTGATTAGAGATCCTTCATAGGATCCTGCCAAGATCCTTGTATCTTTTGTGAGAAAGGCAAAAATAGATTACTTTTACCGTTTCTTCATTCATCCAACAAGTATTCTTTAAGGGCAAGTAAAACTAATCTACGGTGATAGAAATCATAACAGGGACTATTTTGTGGGAGTTGTGGCAAGGAGGGGACATGAGGCATAAGGGAGACTTCTGGAAGTGCTGGTAACATTCTACTACTTGGTTTGGGTGGGGGTTACATAGTTATATTCACTTTGTCATATTTTATTGAGTGGTCTACTTATCATTTGTATGCTTCTCTGTATGTAATGAAGTATTTAAGTATATGTAATATTTCTATAAATTATAAAAGGAAACTACCACATAGTTTATTACAAAATAAAATTTTGATAGATTATAAAGCTATAACTTTAAATGCAAGTCCTAAAAATGATGGAAAAAATAGAGGTTAGTATTTATAGAATTTTGGCTGGGAAAGAACTATGTATGAAACCAAAGGCAGAAATCACTGGTAGTTCTGACTACATAAAGTAAAAAATAAAATATAATAAAACTTTTATACAAAATACTGTGAATAATATAAAACAAAAACATCAAACAAGGAAAATGATTGGTAAAATGATGTAACAAATGGTCAATACCCGTAATTATATAATAAAATTATTATATAATATATATAATTACATGTAATACACACACACACACACACACACACACGTATATATATAATATAATTAATAAGAATTACTGGGGAAAAAAGAATACCCCAATTGCAAAATGGGCAAAGAATATGAACTGGCAATTCAAAAAGAAATACATAAACGGCCAGTAAGCTTTGGAAACTGACAAACAGTTTAAGTAATTTGCCTAAATTCACAAACAGTAAGAGGGAAAGTCAAGATTCAAACCCAGGTTATCTTACTTTTCAATTAATAATTTGTTTAATGAATGAATGATTATATACTTAACACCAGAAGATGTTTATATTTACATCACACACTACAAAATTCAGGTCATAAAACAGAATATGGAAGAGATCCCTTTTCTGCTGATACACTCACATAAATGTTTAAACAGGCTTAGAAAAAAAAGGTCTGAAAAGATCAAAGTGTAACAGTGGAGAGATTATGGGAGCTGTTTTCTTTCTCTTTACATTTTCTGAACTAAAAGAATTTCAGAATAAATGTGTATTACTTCCATAATAAAGAGGAACAGTTATGTTAAAAAGCCAAATAATAACACAAAAGGAAAAAGTACACAAACACCTCTAATGACTCCCAGTATATCCATGTGTATGTGCATGGCTCAGCATGGATCTCTCAAGGTCTCTAATCATTTAAATTCAACTATCATGCCATGCTTCTCTAGTCACTTCCTCCTGTCTTTCCTACCCTTAATTTCCAAATTAATCTTCTTAAAATACTGTGACCGACTTGTAATTTTACTCCTTAAATAACTTTCAATGATTCTTCATTTTCTACACAAGAAAGTAAAAATTCCTCAGCCTGGAATTCAAGGCCTTTCACAATTATGGCATTCAGCCAACCTTCTCACTTATTATGCACATTCCAGTTGGTTGACTATTTGCTGTTCCTTTTCTATGCTTGTTGCCTACAGCTTCTGTAACTTGTTCATGTGGTGAACTCTGCCTAGTATGTTCTCTTCCTCATGTCCATTTTCTACCCAAGATTCAGTTTATGCACCTCCTTCTCCATGAAACAGTTGCTAATTTTTCTTAGTCACTCTGATAATGCATGGCTCTTTGGTCTGTCTCTCTAGACACTTATTTTGTTATGTTTTATGTTCTATCTTTCCTAATAGACAATGATTTCCTTGAGGATCTTTATCTTATTCATCTTTGTATTCTTCTTACTAAATATTAGGTGAGTGTAATTAATCAACAAAAAGAGAAATACTCACAGAATTCAATACCATTATGTTTCAGTATTTTCAAAGTGCCAGTCTGTGGTTATAAGATTTCTCCTTTGAGGGGCGCCTGGGTGGTTCAGTGGGTTAAGCCTCTGCCTTGGGCTCAGGTCATGATCCCAGGGTCCTGGGATCAAGCCCTGCATCAAGCCCCGCATCACGCCCCGCATCAAGCCCCACATCGGGCTCTCTGCTCGGCAGGGAGCCAGCTTGCCCCCCCCCCACCTGCCTCTCTGCCCACTTGTGATCTCTGTCTGTTAAATAAATAAATAAAATCTTAAAAAAAAAAAAAAAGATTTCTTCTTTGAATACAGGAAATATAAATTGTTAACGGTATAGGCTGGTCCTTACTCTTTAGGTCCTTGACCTAACTGGGTGATTTATGAAGCTAATGGAGTTAGATCTTTCATCTCGATTACACTATGAACTGATGCATTTTGGTCTACCAGCAATTTACTCAGCTTTATAAATTTGAGCTTTACTCTCTAGGAAAGAGAACAGAGTTGTAGGACTGAATGTTCTCCCTTACCTTTTCGTGTTATGCACTGTGGTTCCTCCCAGAACAATCCTTACTCCAGGAGTGGTACGGTTCAGGTTATAAACTGTTAGAGCCTCTTCATAGGTGGCTCCTCCAATTATAAACACAATGATATCCTGAGGTCTGCAATAATAAAGAAAGTTAACATCATAGGATAAGAGGGGAAAAAGGCAGATTTGGTGTTACTATTATATGCACAGTTTTAATTTCTAAATCTTTCATTTTTGGTGGAGGAAGCAGAATTAAAGCAGAATAGAATAAAAGGCTTAAAAAAGTTTTAATGATCTGAAATTGGCAGGAAACAGAGCAGGAAATGCTGAATAGTGATTTGCTTTCTGTTTATGAGCGGATGTCTTATAATTTCTGTGCTTTGGATTTCAGAATAGCACAATAGTGTATGCTAGAACCAAATGTAGAAATATTCTTTTATATTCAAGAGGCTGCAGAGTACTTCACTGTGCATTGGTATCAATAGAGCAGTAAATTGTACTTGTACTACACAACTCCTTTCATATATAAGCCCTCTGTCAAATACTTAGTACAGTGTCATCACAATGGTCTCTGTCCAAGGACTTCAAAATATTTTGGAAAGTACCAGTATATTAGGATGTTAAGATGCAAACTAGAAATGTTTAGTATTTTGAGTGTAAAAAGAGAATGGGACACAGAAATGAATAGCACTTCTGGGGACTCCACCTCTTCTTAAAATCTTTGTTCTCAAATCCTTTGATAAACCAAAAAAAACAAACAAACGACCCTGTAAAAACAAACAAACAAAAAACTCTTGAGTAGAGTTTTGATGCTGGACATACTGATAGATCAGCTCAGCCACTTGCCTCATTTGGGTAGCACTGTGTAGTTTTACTGTGTTCCAATCTTTATCAAAACAGCTTTGTAACAACAAAAGTAAGGGCCTCCTATTGGCCCTTCTGTAGCTGTCAACAAGAAGGAGACTATATCATTTCAAAACTGTTTTTCTTTTCTCATGCCATCAAAAGAAGATAAAATTACTTAATCTTAGCAAGCCAGTAATTTTGTTAAATGACTTACTGGACGTTATTTAAAACTACAAGGAGAAGCATTCATTTTGGAGGTTATAGCACAAAGTTAAATAGAAACCTCTTTAATAGTACAGGTTTATGTATAAATCATGGAAACCTCCTCTGCATTTCCTTTCTGTTTGTCTCTTTTTAAAACACCTTGAAGGGATTAACTGAGAGTATTTATTCTTCTGGTACTTCACAGAAACAGAATCAGATATTATGGCCAAAATTAAAAATGTTCAGATAATCTCTGAATTGCAGAGATACCCAATAAAAGGCTCCCAATGATGAAGAGGTGGTTATTTTGCAAATAATTAGGTAGATTTTCCAATTAATTAGGTAGAGAATCAACCATGGCATTTCTGTGTGAAATGCCTGAAACTTAAAATCATGCCTTTAAACACTAAACTTACCTTTTTTTGAGAGAGAGAAAAAGAGACAGAGTGTGAGCGCATGAGCAGGGCCAGGGGAGTGGGGGCGGAAGGGAGAGAGAGAATCCCAAGCAGGCTCCATGCTTAGCATGGAGCCCAACATGGAGCACAATCCCACAACCCTGAGATCATGACCTGAGCCGAAATCAAAAGTCGGATGCCCAACTGACCAAGCCACCAGGGACCCCACAAATTTTCTTTTTAAGAAAAAATAAACTTTTAAGACTACTTACTTGAAACAATGTATTTAGTACTACAATGCTTAGGAGTTCCCTACTGTTATATATTCTATAATCATTTTTACTATTTTATTTTTTAAAAAATATTTTATTTATTTAAGAGTGAGTGAGTGAGAGAGAGAACACAAGCAGTGGTAGTGGAAGAGACAAAGGGAGAAGCAGGCTCCCCACTGAGTAGGGAGTCTGATGTGGGGTTTGATCCCAGGACCCCAGGATCATGCCTGGAGCTGAAGGCAAAAGCTTAACCGACTGAAACACCCAGGTACCCCTATTATTTTAAAATACACTATTTTTGACTAGATAAATGTTTGCATATAATATAAAACACAAAAGGGTATACTATAAAAAAAAGTGAGTTTCCCTCCCACCATGGTGCTCCTGCACCTCAGTTTCAATGTAGAGGCAATGTAAAGGCAAACACTACCACTTGTCTCTTATGTATCCTTTATATATGTGTATATGTAAGTAAATATATGTATAAATACATAAATATATGTATAAATACATATTCACAAACACATATACACACCACACATACGTACATATACATATAGAGCGCACACACACACACACACACACACACGTACACAGATAAAAGCATTTTATGTGCATTGTTCCGCTCCTTGCCCTTATCTTGGATCTAGTGTGCATTTTAAATTTTGGTGGATATCACCAAATTGCTCCACAGATGTCATTCCACCAGCAACTCAGGAAAATGCCTGTTTCTCCACATCCTTTCAGCACCATGTATTATCAAGGCTTTTGGTCCTTCTAAGTTGATCACTTGTTTGGTCCTTCTAAGTTGATCACTTGTTCTTCCTCAATATACCTTCTTCACTTGGTTTCCAAGACGTCACATTCTTGGATTTCTCACTTCATTAGTTGCTCTTTTTCAGTGTCCCTTGATGGCTTCATCTTATCTCCCTGACATCTTAATGGTGGAGTCACTGGTCTTCCTTTCTTCTTCATCTACACTTATTCTCTAGATCTACTTTGCCCAATGTAGTTATCATTAGCCACATATGGCTATTTAAAATTTAAATTAATTAAAATAAAATAAAATATTCAGTTCCTCAGTAGAACTAGCCACATTTCAAGTGCTCAACAGTCACATGTGGCTAATGACTACCTTATAATATAGCACAGATAGAGCACATTTCCATCATTGTAGAAAGTTTTTTTTTTTTTTTTTTTTTTTTTTTTTTTTTTTTTGAGAGAGAGAGAGAGAGAGAGAGAGAGAAGCAGGCTCTTGGCTGAGCAGAGAGCCCGATGTGGGACTCGATCCCAGGACCCTGAGATCATGACCTGAGCTGAAGGCAGCGGCTTAACCCACTGAGCCACCCAGGCGCCCTGTAGAAAGTTCTATTAAACTTACTGATTATTCCTAGATGATCACACCCAAGTTGTATGGTTTTAAATACATTTCTCTGCTGGTGACACCCAAATCTCTTATCTCTCTCTTGGATAGAGCACTGCCTCCTAAATGCCAGGCTTAAATATCTATCTACTAGACATTTCTACTTGGATGTTTAAGAAATTTCTCAATTCAAATGTTCAAATTCCTTATCTCCCCCAAGCTTGTTTCACCTATAGCTTTTCCCATTTTAGTTGATAGCCAGTCTATCTTTTCAGTTGCTTAGGATAAAAGCTTTGAAGTCATCTTAACTCCTGTGGAATGAAGCAGATAAATCAGAGACATAGTGAGAGAAAGAGAGGGAGATATAAGCAGTGGCCAGACCGTGGAAGGCCTTGAGTCTTATATGTCATGGGGGAGTCATTAAAGGGTTTTAACAGGTTATCGCGATCAAATTTGTTTTCTTTTGGAGATCCACAAAGCAAAGTTTATTGAGTGACAGTACAAAGCTCCTGAAGAGGGACGGGGATTCAAGAGGGTTGCCTCGAATTTGCTTTTTTTGAAGGACAATTTTGGCAACTCTGTGAGAATGAATTGGGGGAAGCAGGTGGGAAAAGCTGGAGAACAAAAGGCCACTGTAATACTTCCAGAAAGATATGATGAAAAATGGGACTAAAGAAATACCAAGAGTGGAGAGGAGGGACTGGATATAGGAGACCAAAAAAAAAAAGGGGGGGGGGCGGGGGGACTCTTCAATATTTGGTCAATGATTAAATGTGGAAGATGAGAATAAAGGAACAGTCTATGATAACTTTAAGTTTTCTGGTTTTGGTGACTAGGTGTAGTGGTTAAGGTTTGAGGGGAAAAAAAGCAAGATTGATTTCCTGAAAGTAAGAAAAAAACATGTGTTGGAGATACCTGTGGAACATCTCAGCAGAGATGTCCACTAAACATGTATCTGGACATTGAGGCCCAATGATTTCCCTGAATATAGGTGACAGCTGAAGCCATGGAAATAGATGAGTTTGATCTAGGGAGATCACGTACAGTGAGAAGAGAATCAAAAGACAGAGCTTTGGAGAGTGTTTAACAGCTACAGGCCAAACACAATGAAGAGCCAGCAAAGGTAACTGAGAAGGAAACTGTCAGAAAGGTAGGAGGAGAACCAGAAGGGAGAGGCCAAGGGACAAGTGACTTTCAAGAAGAACTGAATGGTTAACTGTGGAAATGAACAGTGGGGTAAATAAGGTGAGGACTGAAAGAGACACTGCACATGCTATTGTATATGAATTTGTAAGAGAAGTCTTGGTGTATTATAGTGGAGTTAGAAGCCAGGGTGCGTGGATTGAAGAAGACAGTGACTTTATCCAGGAAGCTTGACTATGAAAGAAAAGAGAAAGGTTAGAGGAACATCCAGGTTCAAGGGTCTTATACTTACTGTTTGTTTAATAGGAGAAACCCAAGTACACTTATAGTCTGTGGGAAAGTAGTTAGATGAGAAGTTGAAAATATAGGAGGCAGGGAGAGAGAGGGAGCAAGCAAATAATCAACATAGGAAGGCTTCAGAAGAGATGGTAGGAGTCTAAAACTAGAGCACTGACAGAATGATTAGCTCTAAATAGGAAAAAAAGGATGTATTTCCTTTAGAATGGAGGAAGGACATAAAGGTAGGTGTGTGTAAATAAGTTTATAAATATGGGGGCTAGACACTGAAGGAGTTAATGTCTGGCAGATTCATTTTTTTTCTCTAGGAAACACTGCTATGGGCTGGGGTGGGTTAGGTGATTTGGAGAAAATGGCAAACATTCAAAACTGATGTGGAGAAAGAGAAAAAGAGAAAGAATTAAGGATGCATAGAAGTTTGAGTATCTGGGAAGGCCCAAGTGAGTTTAGAAACAATGAATCTGTAGTGGCACTATTCTGTAATTGTGTGATTTCCTCTAGTATCATAGAGGAGTAGCTACCAACCTTAAAGCTAAGTTATTAATCCAATAGTAATCTAGTGCTTTAGGCTGCAGGGAGAGAGGCTCTTTGTAGCTTACAGGAAAGCATTACC